TTGTTGCCCAGGCTGATCTCAAACTCCTGCTCATACATGTCCCTGCCACTTTGACCTCCCAAAGCGCTGGGATTATGGGTGTGAGTCACCCTTCCTGGTCTTGCTTTCTCTGTAATTTTGTAAAAAGGTCTTGATTCTGCATGAGATCTATTTCAATACAACTGGTCAAATATGAAGTGGTGCCTATCGTGTGCATTGACCTGGAGTGATTGATAAGATGGTATTTATACCTTAGCCCATTACTACTTTTAAGCTGGGAATAAAAGGATTTGGTCTTGTGTCAGACAGTCATGTTGAAAGTTCTGTTCACCCTTCTCCCTTCAACCTCACAAGGCCTCTTGCTTCACTGATTCTTTTTCTAATCACCTTACTCCAATTCTATCTTTTTTCCTTAGGCTTTCCTTTTTCTCCAGGCATATTCTTCAAACATATGCTTTTAATTATTTGATATTTATAACTTCTCCTACAGTAGATGTTGTCAGAGTATAATTTAAAATCATCAAAAACATGACTTACACAAATAATTAATGGACATATGTCAAAGATTTGTTCAATTATTAATTAATGAGGGAACCACTTAGACGGTACAACTGGTTCAAAGTCTTTTAGAGAAATGGCTGTGTATATGCATTTCAGTGAAAAGAATACTACACTCAGATTTCTAGATGACTTATAGAAGTGCTAAATACACTGTCTGGAAATAAAACCATAACCTTTTGTGGTCTTTTCTGCTAGACAAGAATCTATAAGTTTTTTTTTCACAAGTTATTATGTTAACTTTACTCTGTTTGAGTTCTAATACAATATTACATAGCAAAATCAAACTCAAGTAAATTCTCCTAGAGACTTAATATTTAGGGGGTTTCTTAAAGAATGGTTTATTATGATGTTGAAAGGACATGCAGTATTTTTTCTGACTTTCAAGTCTTGAATACTATTTTTTAACTATATTTGACTATTACAAATACTTGATTTACTCAAATATATAGGTGCAGTTTGCTAAGTTCAGTGAGGCTTCCTTCTAACTTGGGAGGACTGTAGGGTGACCCAGAACAGACCCTGGAGGCAACTTGATGTATGATTTTCGGGCAATCATGGCCTTTCTGTTCTTATTTTTCTCTACTGGAAGATGAGGAAATGGAATAAGTTGATCAGTAAAATCCCTCCTCCAGTTTTAAAATATTTTAATTCTCAAAGAATTAAATTATGAAGAGTAAAATATCTTGGGCCTTCAGTAGTGTGTGGATTAGGCAACAGTGCCCCCTACAGGTCCTCTGTGAGTTCTGGGCAGGCCAACCTTAGAATTATCCTAGAATGTTGGGACAACTTTCCCCTCAGAAGAGGTTTGGCAGCACCTCCTGTCAGAATCCTTGATTTAATTAGCTTGTATATATTATCTGTTGCCACAATAATGCTTCATAACAAGCAAACACAATACTTCTGAAACATACAAGAAATATTTCTTTTGCTCTTAAGTTTATGGGTCATCTGGGAAGTTCTGTTGATCTTTGTTAGGCTTGGTTGAGAAGTTCATTTGCTCTTAGTGGGACAGATTTGTGTGTCTAGAGTCAGCTGGCTATTGAGTGATCCATGATTACTAGGATAACTGGCTCTGCTCTGAATGATCTCCCAACCTCTAGTAGGCTGTCTTAGGCCTGTTTTTATGATACAGTGGCAATGCTTCAGGAGGGCATGGAAACCAGCAAGAACTCTCAAGGACAAGACTTGGAAATGACACGCAGTATCACTGGCCAAAGATGGTCATTAAGCAGGTTATGGGGAAATTAACTCCATCTCCTGATAGGGGAAGATGTATAAACCCACATTACACAGGGCATAAGCATAGGGGGAGATGATAAATTGTTGACACTTTGGTAACCAGTATATCATACAGAACATGATTCACAGAGTTTCAGGAAGAATGTTGGTCTAGAGGAAAAGAAGAACTTAAATATTCTTGCACTTTGTTCTGGGGTACAGGTAAGTTACTTGGAGTCAGTTTGATCTTTCAGTCTTACTCTTAAAATTCAGGATCAGAGCAGTGTTTAGAGCTATTTTTCTATGCTATTGAGGCAACACTGCTTTGAGTGCTCTATCAAATGCTGCATGAATGGTGGCATTTTGTTGTCCCACAGGTGGGGACATGCCTATCCCTGGCTTTGTGCCAGCATCAGACAGTTGGTCCTTGGCCTTTATACTTACTGCACACTCATAAACTGCCCTGTGCCTATTTAGTGAGAACTCTCTTCAGATGTCAGGAGTTCTCTCTTTGTTCTGTGTTCTCCTCTCTCGTCCTTTGTCCTGTCAACTCTAACTGCCTTCGTCTCCCAGACTCCCCACCCCAGCTCCTCAATTCGGGGGATCTGGCAGCTTTTCTAGGGTTCTCCTTCTCTGTGCCACAGCAGGAAAACCTTCTCAACGCTGTTTCTTCCCTCTTGGTGACTGTAGATCTATCTTGTCCAGTGTCTTCAAAGTGATAGTTGTTTTGTTGTATGTTTTCTCCTTTTTTTTTTTTTTTTTAGTATTTTCAAGAAATGTATGTCTCTTCACTTTAGCAAAAATTAGAAGTCTGTCACTTAATTTTGGCTGGAATTGGAAGTCTCCAATCCTTATCACTTACTGTTAGGAAAAATGAAGATTTATAAAGATCATGGACAACCTAAGTTTTAATGAAAGAATGAATTGTAATGTAAATAACTGATATGCAGGAGACCCCCCCAAAGGGGTCGCGACCCACAGGTTGAGAACCACTGAATTAGGCAGTACTTTGTTAAGCACTACTATCAGAATGTAGTTGAAAAAAATATATTTCCTTATTGTTTTTCTAATTCGTTCTTTTTTACTATCTTCCCTTCTCTGACTATTTAACATTTTGTCGCTGTTTAGTTCTTAAATATATCTTATTTTTTGCTATATTTTTGATTGTATCCTGTGTGCCTATGTATCTTATCTTGTCAATGATAGTAGATGATCTTTTAATGTTAGGGATATACCTTTCCTTCTTTATGTTCTTCACTATGTTTGTAACATTTTAAAATTAATATTAATCAATTAATTATTATCCTATTTTGTAACAAGAGTTCCAAAATCTAAGGATTAATTAGGCCAGAGGTTCTCAGCCTTCCTAATGCCATGACCCTTTAATACAGTTCCTCATGTTGTGGTGACCCCCCAACCATAAAATTATTTTCATTGCTACTTCATAACTGTAAGTTTGTTACTGTTATGAATCGTAATGTAAAGATCTGATATGCAGGAGACCCCCAAAGGGGTCACGACCCACAGGTTGAGAACCACTGAATTAGGCGGTGCTTTGTTAAGGAAAGGTGCAGGGTAAGTAATGGCTCTTCAGCTTTCAGGTTTAGAGTTTGGTCTAGAGTTTGCTTTCAGCTGTCTCCACCGACTTTTGGTGCCATTCGCTAGGCTGCAATTTCTCATTAGCTCAGTCGCAAGCTGCTTAGAAGAATGCCGTAAGCTGATGTGAAGGGTGTTCTCTACACCTCTTGGAGTTGGCATTTACCCTGCGTGTCATGAGGATGTGTTTTTCCTCCACTCAGTGATTGACTGTGAACTCATAATTCATAAGAATATCAAATGTGGATTGAACTCTTTCAACATGCTTGAGGGGTATAGGACTAAAAAAGGTCATATTTGGGGCAGCGCCTATGGCTCAAAGGAGTAGGGGGCCAGCCCCATATGCCAGAGGTGGCGGGTTCAAACCGAGCCCTGGCCAAGAATGGCCAAAAAAAGAGATCATATTTGTAGAATAAACCTTTGTCTCTAAAGTGAGCTCTCCATTAATTGTACATGATTTACCTACCTTATGTATTACCATCTGTGAATTGTCCTCTGAGGCTGGCTCCCCCCTGTCGCCCATATATGAGCTATTCTCTCTCTCTCCTCCCCCTATTTCTCCATCTCTTCATGCACCACTTGTTTTATAAAACGGCAGTGTGAAAAGGTATGGAAAGTAATTACAGTATAACCTTAACATAACTTAGAATAATCATAATTAGGGAGGACAAATTATTCCAAAAAATTATAGTATAGTCTAAAGTCAAGCATGACTATTTAAGGGATCATCTGAGCAATTGTCTTCTTTTGTTAAATGAATAATCTATACTTGACTCTATATACAAATGGACATATATATGTTATTTATTGAGCCTGTCAAAGTTACACGGAAAATTAACTTTACTTGTATATCATACAGCTTTATTAAAATATAATCTTTTTCTACCAGTAGGATGTGATGGAAAACAGGGAATTACATTTTGATTTAATCAGTCTTTATTGATTAATGGTCTGGATTCAGATATATATGCAACTATTCAGTGGTGCTGTTTATATGTCTATCATAATATTTTATTGAAACTTATTTTTTCCTTTGTATTTTCATCATTGATTCTGGTGAAAAACTAAAAAGTGTCAGGATTTTTATAGTAAATGTGTATGATTGTCGAAGATTCTTCATGAAAATAAATTTCAGGGAATTGGAAATCAAAGTTTTTGGAGTTTTTTCTAAGGAATATTGCACATATACGGGTAGTTGTTACTGTTGTTATACTGTGCACAGAATTAGATATACTTCTTGTTTACAGACAAATGTGTAAAATTCTTTGAAATATATATGACATATTAGAATATTATTTACAATTAAACTGAACAAAGAACTTGTACATTTATAGAAACTTTTAAAATAAAATCAAGTATAGCCTTAGTTTCTAGATGTAACAACCTAATCTTTCCACAGATTTAAACTCTGATTATTTATAAGAATGTATCCTATTTTGAAATAGAAGATTTTTGATTCATAGTTTTAGATATATGCACTTATCTTGAGGTATTTTAGTGCTTTTTATCAAGCTGAAGGTCTAACAACTATTAATAAATGTTTATTTTATGGAAATAACTAGCTTTATATGTTTTGATCCTTGCAAATTTTGTGCCAATCTGCATAGAAATACACAACCAATGCAATTTTTAATATGCCTTTACAGAATACAAGTGGCAATTTGAACATGAGAAAAAGGACAAATGCTTTGGTTCACTCTGAATCTGATGTTGGGAACAGAATTGAGATGGGAAATCATTCGAGCAAATCTTCCTTGGTTGTTCAAGAATCTTCTGAAGCCACACCTCGGTCTTACTTAGCTTCCAGTCCAAACCCATTCAGCCGTGCAAATGCTGCTGAAACTATCTCCGCTGCAAGAGCGCTCCCCCCCGCATCTCCTTCTACTTCTAGCCAGACTGGGCCTGTGTCCCGACGAGCTTCCCTGGGAGTTGCTGCAACTCAGCGTTTGTTTGGCTCGAGACTGGAGAGGATTAAGACCACAGTCAACACCACAGGGGCTGCTGGGAAATCCTCAGCCGCCGCCCCTCCCTCGGCTCCACCACCTTCTGGATCTGGTACAAGTAAAATAGACAAATATGCCCGGATTCTCTTTCCAGTCACATTTGGGGCATTTAACATGGTCTATTGGGTGGTTTATTTATCTAAGGACACGATGGAAAAATCAGAAAGTCTAATGTAATTTTTTTTTCTACAGTAGTTTGCTTAAAGATGATGAAAATGCAGACTGTCTTTTAAAATGTTTTTAAATATAAATAATTATTCTTTACTAAAATAAAAATTCTGTGTAATTTTTCCATTTAAAAAATAGAAGCCAGTTATTGGGAGAGTTAATTCCTCAGTAAAGACAAGGTGCCTCAGAAAGATTTAAAAAGAACTCAGCATCCAAATTAGAACACAGATCATCTTGGAAAGTTGGGACCAGGGCAATAGGGCTATTAGAGATATGGGGTGCATATTTTTGCATTGAAATTTGAAAACAGACTCTGAAATTTTTTAAAATAACCTGTGAATATTGACTAACCACCCTAAGTTTCCCAGTGGCACTGCCCTTAACCAGAATCGTTAAGCAGATATTACATGCAGCGACCCTTGGATATCCTCTTAGTAGCTACAAGAAATGGAATTTTCTCGTTAAATGAAACATCAGTAAAAGGAAAATGGAACAAAACAGACACATCAATAGAGTGAAACTTCTGTTGCATCAAAAACGAAGATATAGACCCAAGAAAATGCGTTCCCTTTCATATGTTGGGCAAACAGTACTAAACAATTGACTTGAAATTTTATGCTCTCAGCCAAAGTTTAACTCATTGTGTGGATTCTTTTTCATAGCAGTTCCTTCAGTTATGTATCCATTCACTACATAGTTATTAAGAGCCTACTGTGTTCCAGCCACTATGCTAGACACTGTCTTCCTAGGAAAGCTCTATCGGCTTTCCCTACAATATTACTTAAAAAGTAGACCAGTCGATGCATGCCAAAGAACCATCAACTAGCAGAAGACATTGCATTCTTTAGTGAAGGACATTCATTTAGAGTCTGATGACATACTCAAAATAATTGTTTCTTCTATATTGATAAGAGATAACAAGTGTATTGTCCATCTATCCACTCTGAGATAAGTACATGTTAGTACAACTTCAACAAATGGTTTTCAAAATACAAAGAGAATGTGGTACAGATTGTTTTGTAAGTGGAAAGCACCGTGTGCCTGAAAGTAAAGATCCGGGCACTGGCAGACTCCCTAGATCACCTGTCTCAGATTTTGATCAGAATCACATAATAGAATTTGAGCAGTATTATCAGAAATAGGAACTCCACACAGGCTTTGAGATGCTTTTCCTAACCCAGATCTATATATTAGCTGGGGAAATGCTAAGGCTCTTGACGGTTTTGTGTCCACGTTTTGTATTTCTGGGCACTTTTCGTGTTTGTTTTCTGAGTGTTTCATAACCAAGGTGAGTATTTTAAAATTAAAGGAGAAGCAAAGGAAAGGAATGAAGGGGAAAAAAGTCATAGGTGTGGGGTAGGATGCCACTGACTGTGATTCAGTTTATCAGGATTTTCACGTCCTGACTTTCATTAGGAAAGCTTAATGACTTAATTGAATTTGTGCAGCTGTCTCATGCAACTCAATCCAGGTCTGTTTTTGTTCTGGTTGTGTCACTTCCGTATCTTTCTTCTATCCTTTTCACGACCTGCTCTGGAGGCCTGTGAATGAATGTGTTCGAAGTGACCATTTTGCTAGAAATGACCACTTTGTAAACAGGATATCTTATTTTTTTAAGAAAGAAAGGATTAATTGGCATCAACTTTTCAGTTATTGCATAGCCTTGTAATGGTTGTACATGAGTCCTGTAAAACGTGAAAATGTCAACTATTAATTGGGAGTCATATCTGAGAAGTCTCTCTTGGCTATCTCTCTAGGTATTTCACAGAATCAGGCTGAATAATGCTCTAGAAATCACCCAATCCAAATCCTCATTGAAAAATTGATTCCAGTAAAATGAAGTCCAGTAAAATCTGTATATATGTATAAATTTAATAAAGAATACTTGTACAGAAAAGTTTATCATAAATTATTTCATGAATGTGAATAGATTTCTGGCCTTGAGGATAATGCTAAGGATTACAGTCGGAAGCTATGCTAGTTCATTATTTTAATGAAATGATTTAGTTCTTTGGCAAGGAACACTGAATCTTTGCTTATCTGTTGGCCTAATCTTAATAAATATTTCTTTGGCTTCCTTTTTTAAACAATATTCTTCTCTTATAAATTGTACAGGTTTAAAGAGATAAAAATAAATGATTTTAGATTTATAGACCAGGGGTCCGGGTGAACTCAGTGTTTTTTTCTTACCTTTGCATATGAAGATTTAAATAAATCAAGTGGCTGAACAAATAAAAAGGACAAAATTAACCAAAGGTTTTTAATTGTTAATTTGAAGAATAATTCAATTAGAAAGTCTAATTATTAGTATAAAAAATAAATTGTTTCACTTGCACAAAATGTTTATAATAACGTGTGGTTTGTTTTCCCTAACTGGATTTCATCAAATTCACTCGCTGATTTTTTTATTTTGTTCATCACTTTAATCTTCCCATTAACTCAGAGGTATATTGAGTAAGACACTTTTTTGAAGTGTCTAATAGTCACTTTCACTATTAGAACATCTCACAAGAAGAATTAGAGACACTCAGAGTCTTGATACTCTGTGAAGAATTCTGGCAGAGAATTGTACTCTTACGTGTGTTTTTTAAAAGTGAATTTCAGAGTAGTTTTATTCAGTATGAAGATCCATACTCACAGTTGTCCACTGACTGATGTACAATTACTTCTAATTTTCTCTGGGCATGACTAGCTATAAAAATATATTTACATGATTAATCTACAGCTAAAAATGACTTGCATTTGTGAATATAGATAGTACTTGGAATATGTATATTTTAAATTGAACCTCACCAATCTGGAATTAAAGTAGGCAGAGAGCAGAGTCATGCTCTTTCATAAATGAAATGAGTCACAGAGAAATTAATAACAAAGATAAAAGCACAGGGCTGGTATGAACTTGGAAAGGTCATTTGTCAGTAACCTCACGTTAGCAATGACTGTGTTTCAAGCAATATATAACAAATGCATTTGTCTTTATTTTACTCATGAATTTGTCATTTCTGCCTGGCATAGGAAAAGAAAATCTCCATTCTCTACTGCACTATTTTCCAATATCCCCTCTTCTAGATTTGTGAATACTCTCCAGTGGAAAGTCACTAGGTGGAGAGAGAGGTCACTTAGTCTCAAATTGTGACTGTATCACAGTCTTCACAAGTCAACCGCCCTAGGACTGGTATCTCATTTATAATGGGGAGTGGTGGATTAAACCGTATCTAAGACTTTTTCAACTTTAATGTTCTCTAATTTTGTAATAATGTAAGAATGGACGCAGCTTTGTTAGTAGAAAGAAGAGCGATGGCAGGCGAAGCTTTGCAGAGATGACATCGAACTAAACTTTGTAGAACACTTTATGGGTCTCACCTTCCTTCCACTTCCACAAACAAATAAACAACAAACAAAAGTGCATGTACATAACTTCTTAAAGCCTGAGAAGACATGGAGATTGGGAAGGTCAGGGGAATCTCACTACAAATATATGGCGTTCAGGGTGGCTGAGAGGAGGTGGGGTCTGGCCAGTGAGAGTTGATGTTGGAAAGACCCAAAGGGGCTGGATTGGGATAGTTTTGTGTAAATGAGGAAGTAGATGGAATTTGGCCTGTATTAGTGACAATTTACTAAAAACCTTGCAGGATAATAAGAGGAAACTAACACGAATATACTTCTGTTTCAGAGAAATCACCTCTCTGCTCTATGAACTGTGGCTTAGAGGGCCATGAATCTAGAAGTAGTGGAAAAATTGAGATTTCTCATTTTTTTTGTCTTTTAATTAACTTTTCATTCTTCTATTTGATTTTTTTGTTACTCCGATGATTTCATGGTCATTGTAAAAATAATACATATTTCCCAAAAATAAAAATAGTCATTGGAGAAGTTTAAAAACAGTATCAATATCCCATCAGAAGTTATTAACATTTTTTGAATATTATGCCAAGTATGTCTGTATGGAGATGTTTGTACAGATGAGCCAATGATTTGATCGAAAGACACAATTTTATGAATGCCATATATGCTGCTTTTTAGTAACAAAATAAATTGACTATGATCTCAGTTTAAGATAAAAATAAAAGGAAAAATTAAGAAATTGTGGAAATCTAGATAGCGTTTCTTCAAAAAGAAAAAAATAGTGTGTCCGCAAAGCAAGAGATTTGAGGGAGTCAGTGCTGCCTTTATCCAGATTTTTTTATTTAGGGATTTTTTTTTCTGATTTATGTCTAAATAATTTTTCTCTAGGAATGCTAACTGTGTTAAATCTTTTTTGTCTCCATAACTGCTCATTATATTCTCTGTAATCACTTCTGTGTCTTTAAATTTTTTGTCAACCTTTTCCAACTATAACGCACAAGTGAGTTTCCCATTTTGTTTATTCTATTTTAGAGCTTGTGATTTTCACCTTCATGATGGTTTTATTTTTTTCATTGCATTGCCTGTCACTGCCACTTCATTGTGATCCAATAAGCTGCTTCCCAACCCTCAAATATAGTAAATCAACATGTTTATCTTTACTCCTAGGTCCTATCGCTTGGGAATAGCAGGAATAGTTTTCTGCTATTTATATGACCGCCTTTGCCTGTTTTCTGGGCTGATATGTCTCTGTTAATCACTGAGCAAGGGAGCCAGCTATTCTCTGAACTCGAGAGTGAGAAGTGGTAGGAGGGTGAGTCATATCTGCCCACAAGAAGCTATTTAAATTTCAGGCTTCAAGCCCACCTCCCCAAATCCATTTTAATTTCTGCTCAGGGACCATATTTTTCTTAATCTATTCCTGACATTCAGGTAGTCTGTGTAGCTCACAGTATTAAAACTCTCTGGTTTCATTCCACTGTGTTGTCACTGCTCTAGTGATTATTACACTCTCTCCCTCTCTAACTCTATCTAGTATCCATGTCATCCAGTAATCTGCTTCCCCGCCGTCAGATACAGTGAATCAGCATTTTTATCTTTACTCCTATCCCCCATCACTTGGGCATATATATGCTGACATTGGGTGGAGTCAGATTTTGTTGTTC